ACTTTTTTTAGTTTTCTATGTAAACAGCATGTCAGTTCTTGTTGTTGTGTTGTTATGTACTACACAACAATTGTTTTTACTTGATATAGGGACTTCAAACCATAAAGAGCAAGTGATTGGAAAGCTATTATAAACCAATACAAAAGTAAATAAATAAATAATAATAATAATAAGATTAATTTTTTTTTTAGTTTTCTATGTACCTATGTTATGCTTCCTTGGGGAACTTTCACTGTACCTATATTTTACTATTCCCCTAAAGAATATACTTTTATGAAACCAATAGGAAACTTAGCAGTTAAAGGAGGTAATAGCTACGGAATTTCAGAGGATACAAAATTAAAAGACAAGGTGATCACATTTTATGTCCTTAAGTTTTTTCATGGCAATCAAACTAGCCCAAAGTTTTTTTCCAAGACATTAAGGTGGAGGGGGAAGACCCCTGTTTTCAAAAAGGGGACAAAGAGATTACCATTTGTGTCTTTAAGAGGCCAAATCTTTTTTGTTTACTTTACTTAAATATAAATAAATGAATAGTGACAGGCTTTAATGAACATTTAAAATGCTATGCTTATTATCATTAAAATCGTGAACAACATCATGGATCTGAGCCTTGAAATGGTCTGGAGAATGATCATAGGTCATAAGGGCTCATGCCAGAAAAGCAATAAGGATCCCATTACAGCCCTAACCGGAGCCTATCATTTTATAATTAAGAGTTGATAGTGCAGATTTAGTTAGAAAATGCCCAATTTGGTTTTCTGAAGAGATTATTAAAAAGTAAGACACACAAATAGCAATCAAGGTTTTATCAGAAAGAATAGGCATTCCCTAATAAAACCAGTGTACGTCATGTAGATGGAATTAAACAATGGCTATAGGGGTTTTTCCCCTCATAATAATTTTCCTTCAGTTTAATACTAGATGAATTTGCATGTTTGAAAACATAGATTTTTGTTTTGTTTTATTTAAATAAATATTTCCATGCTAGATTACCATCTTTTTGCTTGGTTTTTCTTGTTGCTATGGGGTTTTGCTTTTTTGGTGGTGGTTGTTTTTTGCTTATGCTGAGAAGGAACTTGTATACAACCTTTGGTTTTTATATACAAGTTAAATTTCTTCAAATTGGTCAGATCATTCTGGGTAAATCCAGAGGCATTATAATGTAGCATTTTATGATAACATGTTACCTTATATTGCTTGAGTCTGTTAGTGCTGATGGGCAGGGCTGTTTCCAATGATTTGTAATTATAGGCCTAAAATATATCATGTGGGTATTTTTCTTCCTTTTCTACATTTGTGCTTCATGCTAAAGAAAGCCTGGAACCAAGACCCTTAGAAGTTGCAAGCATAACGCAATAAGTAGAACTACAACAAATGCCAAGCAACAGGCCCTGTCAGACTTGTTTGACAATTTACTATATACAAGGTCACACGACAGGGCTGACAGGAAGAAGAAGACAAATATCCAAACACCTGGAATCAAATGATGAGCAGTTTAGCAAGTTTAATATCCTGTTTTTGTGAAAGTCTTGACATTATGGACAATGAAGTGTTCAGATGCAATTATATTATTTTTGATGTGGCTTTTTTGTTGTTTTACAATCTGTGACACTCCCTCTCCCCTGAGACATTATGCAGTGTTTGAAGGACAAAATGTTAGAAGAAAGCTGGAGTCAGGGTACAGAAGCTTCCAGCATAGTAGCCCTAAGTTCTCTTCCTTCTAGGTTTCAAATTGCTACTCTGGTTTGTAATAAATAAACCCACCTTACATATGCAAACTATATTTTTAAAACTACTCTTTATCTTAAAGCTACATATTATTATTATTTCTAACTAGAATAGTTGTTTACTTCACACACATGGGTAAATATAACAATAACCTTTACAATAAAAAGGACAGCTGAGCAGGATATGACTGCTGCATGTTCAGTTGTCTGACTCAGTTGTACTGTAAGTATAGTCTTTAGATTCCCCTTTTTAACACAAAACACATTGGGCACCCCCAAAAGACACAGTCATAAACACAGTTAACAGACACTGGAGGTGCAACTTTTTGATTAGTGATGTGTCTAATTGACTCTTTGAAATTATTTTTCTAGCTAAACCGAATGTATCAGAGGCTACAACCATCGAATTGAATGTCTTCGCAGAAACTACCCCACTCAGTTTATCCACGCAACCACAACTGTTAGCTGACAGAACTACACCAGTTATTCCTCTAGCCACTGAATTACCTGTCATTACAACAAAGTTTCCTCCTGTGGGAAATATAGTAAATTTTGAACAGAAAGCCTCCGTTCCATCTGAGACCGTTACAGACAGGTTAGTCACAGAATCTCCTACGCTGTCTGAGAGAACCAGGACACTATGGGACGTGAATCACTTGCCATCAGCTTCAGGACAGCCAGACAGATTTGAAGTCACACAAGATCAAAACACAGTTGTCTTCTCCCGTCACACTACTGATTCATGGAACGGTGTCATGAAAGATACATACACAGAAGAAAGTGTCACACAAACTGAACAAATAGAGGTGGGTCCCTTGGGAACATCCTTGGAGATCTCAACACACACTCCTTCGAAGGAGTTACCTGTAACAGAAATGCCATTTCTCTCCACAAGCATGATTATGGAATCCAAGACTGAAAAGGAAACAGTGACCACAAACCTCTATGAATTCACCTTGGGAAGTGAAGATGTTGAAGACAGAACGCTTACAGTTAGGCCTGGCCAGAGCACTTTGGTGTTTAACCAAGTATCTGAAGTTATTACAGTCTCAAAGACTTCCAAAGACACCACACATACTCAGCTAAAGGAATCAGAGTCAATCTCAGCTTCCACAATTCTTTCATCTGTTACTGGGCCTGATAAGGGTGAATCATTCATGGATAACAAGCAAGAGAAGGAAACTACTAGCAGGACAATTGAGGATTTGAGGGGCCAACATATATCTACTACACCTTTCCCACCACAGACAGCAGTAGAATTGTTTCCTTTTTCTGGTGACCAAAGATTAACAGAGGAAACGTCAACAATTATTTATTCATCTCCACAGACAGAAATAACCCAAGGAAGAGAAAGAACAGAAACACCAAGGCCAGAAGTGAAAACAGATGCTTATACTGATGACAAAATGCAAGTAAAAATCACTGCCGGTCCATTTAAAGAAAAAACAGAAGATGACTCTTCTGGAATGGTCTTTACATCATCTTCTGAGCAAATTCATCCTACGGGGTCTTTTGTGAAAACGACCACATTTTATGAGTCTCCAGCTTGGACAGCAACAAAGCCACATGTGCAGCCAACAGAAGAAAGAGATTTGGAAGAAGAATTTACAACAGCTCCAGTTGGATTAGAAATTGATAGAGACCAAGAAACTACCAAGTATGAGGAGGATATTATGACAGAGCATATGACTCACAGCACTTTAAATGGGGAGGTGGTCACTGTATCTAAATGGCCATGGGATGAAAAGAATATAACCTCAAGGCCTTCAGAGTTTACAGAACATGAATTTTCTTCAAAACTGCCCCCGGGTTTTCTTCCCACTATAGGAGGAAATGGAAAGGAGGAAGAAATCCCAAGAATCACTGAACATGGAAATGAATTTACCTTCATTCCAGATAGCACTCAAAAGCCGTTAGAAATAATTACTGAGGAGTATGTAACACGCCACAAAGAGTCCACAGTTAGACTTCGGGCAACTCCATCCATTAGTACAGCAGAAATGTCAACTTTGAGAGATTCTAGAACGAAAGAAAGAATGCCATCAATTACAAGAACTGAAGATCAAGTTATTTATTCAACCACAGAAGGAAGTGCTTTGGATGAAAAGGCAGACATGGACATCTCTAAGCCAGAGTCTACTGTTCCCCAATTCACACACTCTTCAGATGGGGAAGGATTGACATTTGTTAATTATAGTAGCACCCAGCGGCCTTCTGCGGACGTAGACACTTCCCATACCATTCCTCTTTCTGTAATGCCAGAGAAAGAATGGGGAGTTTTAGAACCTTTTGGGCCATCAGAAGGTGAAGTTCTTGGTGAGCCCTCTCAAGACATACGTGTTGTTAATGAGAGTTACCCAGAAGCAACCATTTCTCCTGACACCAAAAGAACAACCACAGAAATGACTCCGGAAACAACCCAAGAAGGAGTACCTTGGAAAGAACAGACTGCAGAACAGCCAATTCCAGCCCCCGGTTCTACAGCTGAAACACCTGTGGATGAAGAAGAGAGCGATGAATCAGCCTATCCAATCCCAGAAGACACATTAGTAACAGTTTCTGAAACGACACCAGTTGGAGGAATTGAGCACACTGTGTTTTATCCACCTGATGCAATAACAGATCATGAGGCAAAACTGGATGAAATGGTAACACTCGCACCAAGTCCAAAGCCTGAACAGAAACATGAAACAGAAAGCCTTAGTCCAAAGGAATCGGAGTCACCTTTGAGTTCTTTTACCACGCATGTTACCCGACTGACAGAAGAAACCACGACTGAGGAAAGAGAAAAGACATCTCTAGATTATATTGACTTAGGCTCAGGATTGTTTGAAAAGCCCAAAGCTACAGAACACCCGGAATTTTCGACAATTAAAGCTACAGTTCCAAGTGAAATTACTGCTATCTTTAGTTCTGTAGGCACATCTCACACAGCTTCTACATCTGCGACTTCGTCAGCAGCCACTGAGAAACCACCTCTCATTGACAGAGAACCTGGTGAGGAAACTACCAGGGACATGGTGATCATTGGAGAATCAACATCTCGTGTGCTTCCGACAACCCCTGATGATTTTACAGCTAAGGAAACAGAAACTGAAATTGATAGAGAATATTTCACAACTTCAAGTACTACAGCACAGACGTCAAGACCACCCACTGGGGAAGGCAAAGAGGCCATCAGACCTCAGCCCATTTCTACTCCAGAACCCACAACGGTGCCAAAACTCCACCCTGAAATAAATGTTTATATTATTGAGGTCAGAGAGAACAAGACAGGTAAGTCTTTGCTTTTTCGACCTATCATTCAAGGCAATCAGCATTTTATTTTGGCAGTTACAATGAGAGAGAGAGAGAAAAAGAAAATCAACCTATCAGCTACTGCTATTAGAAGATAACTGGAGTGTGAAACCATTTTGTATTTTAGCTTTATGTGATTTGTACAAGAATTGGAAGAATGTGTTAAGCATTTTGGAAGACTGTTAGATATGAATTTATTTTAAAGTTATAAGAGGCCCTGCTTTGTCATCTAATATAACCAAATCATCTTGTTACATCACTTCAGAACATGTGGAACAAAGTGTTTTAATTTCAGTGTCTTTCCATGCATTACTACTACTTAAGTGTAGTACTAGACTGTGTTAACATTCCATTGGTCTTTAACTATTAACCTTCAGAACTTACAAACGTGGACAGCTAAAATGATACTGCACATCCCTTGGGTTTGTAAAAAGGCATCTTAAACTTTGTGTTTTTTTCTCATAGGATTTTGTTGATCACTTATTGGGTGGGTGACGTGCTATAGTTTAAACTGTGATTTTCATGCAAATCCAATATTTTAAAGTAACTGTCTTGTTTTCGTCTTAAGGCTGCTATAATTATTAAGAACAAATATATAATGTAGTTCAGGTCTGGGCAATATTTTGATTTATTTCGTAGCATCAGATATCAGAGTTAGGTAACTAAGCATTTCTTACCTATAAATCATATTGTAATACAATATTTTGTGATTTAATTGTTTTATCTCCAGGAATATATGGGATGCTTCTCTTCAAATATTTTCGTTTTCTGGCAGAATTCTTAAAAACCTCTTTCTTCCAGTGACTAATATATATAATTTTCATCACAAAACATAAGTCTTCCTGTAGTGAATGCAGAGCACATAGAGTTCAATACAGTGAGTGAGTCAGGCTTGTTTGTCTGTTTTTATTTTGAGAGGTAAGATCACGGATGCTTCCAAGTTGTTGTAGTCTAGTTTAATGTGAGAACTGAATAAGTTAATGTTTGGGTGGGGTTTTTAAAAAAAAAATTCAGAAAATGCCTAAGTTTTAGGGGGGGGAAATCATTGTAGCAATTCATCCCTTACTATGGGAATATTTCCTCAGGGTATCACTGTCCTCATGAAAATGCACGAGAGTGCACCTGCTGGGAGCAGGGATCTCTGTTGTTCACTCAGCTGGCTTCTCATGTGGCGGGTGGAAGGAAACCTATCACTTGTAAAGGCTTCTGCTCTGCAGAATGTTGTCCTTTAAAAGCTCTTACAGAGATATGAGTAGGAGAGAATGGAATACATTGCCAGGATATTAAAATTAATCCCCACTTCCCAATACGGTTTAAAGAAGTCAGGACTGGGGCATTATTTTCCTGGTAATGATGACGTTTCTTGGAAACCATATCTCTTTTTCCTCCTTGGGGATTTTAAGTCAGAGCAAAGGACTTTCCAATCAAGGAAAAGTGAGGATTTCTATTCATCGAATTGCAAAAGGGAGACAGGAAGAGGTTCTTATAAAAAGAAAGATAAGATGTGATAAAAGCAAAAGAAGATACTTAGTACATGAGGAATTTTAAAAATTTATGTACTTGAACTATTCAGAAGCTTTCTCCAGTTTATATTACTCTGTTGTTAGAGTAGGATCTGTTGCCATAGTGACCCTTGAGGACAGCAGAACAAAACACTGATGAGTTCAGCTCCATCTCTACCATTGCCCTGTCTGAGCCCATTGTAGCCACTGCGTTGATCCATCACGTTGAGAATTCCTCTTTTTTACTGACACCATTTAATTACCAAGCATGATGTCCCTCTAGAGACTGACACATCCTGGTAATATTCCTAGAGTACGTGCGATGAAGTCTTACCATCCTTGCTTGTCGAGAGCATTCTTGCTGCCCTCCTTCCATGACAGGCTCATTCTTCTGGCAGACCGTGGTATAGGCAATGGTTTTTGCCAACACTGTCATTCAAATGCATCAATTCTTTTTCAGTCTTCCTTATATGGAATCAGAGAAAACAGAAAGTAGTAAAAGAAATGGCCTGCATTTGACAATGCTTCCTAAGTGGAAAGCATGTGTTAAAGTTACAGTGATATAAAATGGAAAAGATGGCATTTGATCTCTTTGGAAGTGCTGGTAGTCATCACAAAACAATCAAAACTTGGGAGTAGTTACCAGAAATGTGGAGAGTCTGAACAACCCAGCCCTGTAGCAGTTTATATACCGAGATAGATATTTGTGTATGAGTGACTGGCTTAATAAATTAGTATTGGGAGACACGCATGGGTGTTTTATCATTTCTATTTTAAAACAAGGAATCATAATCTGCCTTTAAGCTATATGTATATTTTTGTTCAGTGTTGATAATTGTTGGTTAGGAAATTCAGAGAAAAAGGAATACTTGTTTACCTCCATCAGCACAGTGTCCCTGTATGTGAGCATGTTGAGGTGAGGGTAGCAGGTATTGATTTGTTTCTATGTATATGTTACCAAATCATCTCTCTCTCTCTCTCTCTTTCTTTTTGTGTGTTCCTATATATGCCTTCTTCTTGAGACTAAATGTATTTTTGTTTATTGTCATGAGGGAACCATGGTGGGACAGTGCTTAAGCATTTGACTGGTAACTAAAAGGTTGGCAGTTCAAACCTACCAGCTCCACCACAGTAGACAATAAAATGACAATGATGCTTCTTCAGCTCTAGCTGCTTATTTATATGAATTTTAGTTTACTTCTATGAGAAATTTCATTTTTTCCATGCATTTTTACCTTTGTTAAGGTGAAACCCTAAAGCAGATTTTAAGTTAATAAATCCTAAAACAGGTGCATAAGTTGTCAGGGGGGGAAAAAAGATGGATGTGTATGTGTAAAAGCCACTTTTTTATGTATCAAGGCACAATTTTTCAGACTGGAAAATCCTTTTGTATATGTAATGAGCTTGTATAAATCTATTCACAAGCTTAGCATTGACTTCTACATGTACTGTGAATCAAGTGAGAAAAAAATACCATGCATGCTACATTAAACCAAGGGGTTCATAATTTTCTGTTGTACTCAGCAAGTCATAAAAATCGTGAGTTTTTTTTTTTTAAACCTACTATGAAACAAAACATGCTATACAAGACACATTTATGTTTTATTTGTTCAAGTGGATCTTAATAGCAAGTTAGGGTGCTGTTGCTGGAAGGCAACTGAAGTTAACAGTTAAAAAAAACTGAAGTAACTTTTCAGCTCATAAAATTTTTATGGGCTGAAAATGCTACAGGGTGTGTTTAAGTGCTGGTTCTGGGGAAAACTGAGAACAGGACGCCTGTCTATTTTAGGAGTAATTTGCACACCTGCATCTTGAAAAATTATTGAAAGGTTTTCTTTGTGAACGTATATGAAGGCAACAGGGTTTAAAGATGTGGGAAGCATTTCTTCAATTACAAACTTTTTTTTTTGGTACGATTCTTCATACTCATGAAATGTCACAAGTTAGTGTAGCAAAACTATGATCGCTTTAAAAAACTGATATACTGGTGTCTTTAAATAAAAGCACAGATATTGAATATAAATACCATTATTAAGTTAGAATCTTAAAACAAGTAGTTTATTAGTAATTTTAAAACTCAATTTTATGTATGCGACTTATTAAAGGAGGTCTGGTTGCCTACTGGCAAGAAGCTGCACTGCAATCCTAAAGTCACACGATTTGAGGTCACAGCTGCCCGTGGAGATAGATGGACATTCTCCTCCCGTGCCATTAACTGCCTCTGAAAACCCGCCGGAGGGTCAGCTATGAGTTGGCTCCGACTCTATGATACACAGCAACTTACTATATCTTGGGGAGCTCTGGTGGCCTAGTGGTAAGGAGCTGTATTGCAGTCCAGAAGACATGCAGGTCAAATCCACCAGCTGCTCTGAAGGAGATAGATGGGCAATCTCTTCCCGTGCAGCTGAACTGCTTTTGAAAACCTGCTGGAGGGTCAGCTATGGGCCAGTTCCAAAATGACTGTATACAACAGCCACAATGTGTCAGGCATAGTCAGTAGGGAGTAGTTGCTCTGCTAACTTAAATAAAGGTCACGCTTCTCTGGCAATTCGAATCGACCAGCTGCTTCTTACAGTAGAATGGGTAATCTCCAGTACAGCCTTTGAACACCACTGGAGGGTCAAGCCATGAGCTGATTTCAGACTCAGTGTTCAGAGAGATGTGTCAGGCTCTAGTAAGCACTTATTTGTGTAACATTGGCTTTTAATTTGCATAGCAAATCTCTGGTGGATAATACTGTGATTTCATTTTACACATGCAAAGACTGAGGCAGAGAGGTCACGTGGCTAGGAGTAGGATGACTGGAGATAAGTCAAGGCTGTTGGCTCTTGAGTCAGACTTGATCATTATATATTAAATCTGAAAAAGCCGGAGCATGTATAAGGTGACAACCTGGCAGAGAAGAAAAATGCAAATATCTTCCATTAAAACGAGTGTCAAAGGCAGAAAACTTGTAAGACCTGGAACACCAAAATGATCCTGTCAAGTTCTGTCTGCCGTAGGTTTTATTGTACCGTATACTGTCTCACACTGGAGACAGAGAATTTAATCTCTGCTTCTCAGTCAGCCATTGCTAGTCCGTGCTAAGAATTTCTTGTGATACATAACATTTAAGTATTTTTGTGAGTCTGTATTCCTGTCAGTTAGGCCAGTAAGAACAGGAATAAGCATGACCAAAGCCTCTTAGATGTTAGGCTCTGTGCATTCCTAAAATCCAAGAATTAAGTCCTAGTTTCATCATGGTATTTGTGAATGTAAGAGTGACCTGGTTGTGAATTGTGACCTGGTTAATCTCAGGTTTGGGGAGTGATTCCAGTGAGAGGAGTGAGCTACCCTGTTTCTTGTTACTCCATCCCATATGTGTCCTCCTTAACACAAGCAAAAAAACCCCACCCCAAACACACAAAACAAAGAGGAAACAGTAATAAATAACAATAACAAAGAAGTACACTTGTGGTGAATAAAGCCACGTCCTGA